ATATACATATATATATATATATACACATACTGTTTCCTCAGTTTGAACAACAGACCATTTCTGTCCTTTCAACTTCCTGTGCTGCCATCTAGTGACAAAAATATAGACAAACATTAGACACTCAAATGCACACGTGGATGAGAATACTCACTGGTTGTATCCAGGGTCCCAAGTGTGGTGAGCACTCATAAAAACAAGTGTCCTGGATGAAATGTTTTTTGCACTCCTTGCTCATAATGCCACAGTGATTCCAGTTGAAGTTGTAGAGATAGGAGGCATCGTCATGGGCTTCTGCAGAGGTGTTGGCTGTGCAGCATGCATTATCTCGCCATGGAGAGCACTGGAAAAAGGAAACCAGAATCACTTTATGGATTTAGAACTAAAAAAATGTTTTTTCCACCAAGCTCCTTGGGGTTTAAATCAAGACAAGAAGGGAAACGTTAGCGACAGTGCTATGTTTGCAATTATCACCTGCTGGTACAGTTGTCCCTCAGGGCCAGGCTCTGTTTTGTGATGTTTTGCATCCATACACATGTTCAGTTTGTCCAGAGACATGGCTCCACCAGAGAGGGCAAGCAGCAAGGCCAGGACGGACCACATGACTGTAGGGGAGGGAAGCATCAACAGCAGGTTGTGGGAAAAATCTTAATACTGCTTATAAAGAGGCCAATAATGGGAAGAAGGAAATAGTATGGGATAGCAGCCAACTCCCTGTGACCTCTAACCCGAGTCTGACGAACAGCATTTTACTGACCTTAGTTAATTTTCTACCATCAGCAGGCAGGTGTCTGGATTGTTTGGTCATAGGTACTAATTTAATATTTTAACAGTATTTACAGTATTTAACAGCCCTGGTGTAGATCTCTTTCAGTAACAGACCTAGTGACAAAGTTTAGAGTTTATGGTAATCCGGACAGTCCTTGTTTTTGCTTTTTTTGTAAGAAGACAACCTGAATTCTCTAAAGCTATAGAACTCCAAACTGGACAAAAAATTTACAAGGAAGAAAAGCTAAGCAAAGCTGATTGATGAGGTGATGACTTAATAAGGGCTGGGTATCCATTTCGATTCCGATTCACAAAGTCCCGATTCGATTAGATCCCCGATTCCATTCAATTCGATTCAATTTTGACTCAGACAGTGAGAAATATCAAAATATCATAATTGTCATCATTTATCAGTACATATCCATATTTTTACATCTATGTATAAAAACAAAGCTGAAACTTGTGAGACTTTACCAGAGGTGTAAGCATCACAGGAGATGCCTCTGTGTAAGTGGGGATAAAACTTAGAAAAACATGAAGGAGATTCTCTTGGCCTGGCTTTTTATAGCAGATAACCTTTAAAAATATTCTGCAGTAGGCAAAAGAGAAGAAAACCATGAATCAGCAGATGAACATTAAACTTCTTAAAATTATGCCGAATTGCAAAACGCTCTCTAATAAAACCTCTGTAACTTTGCTTTGCTTTGTTCAGCATCAGGTAAATTTGTTTATTGAACAGCAGAAATTAGGTTTTCTTGTCGGTGGTCATTTTTAAAAAAAAAACCCCCAAAAATCCAAAAACCAAAACAAACAAAAAGCGGCTGACAGCACTGAACACAACGGTAGACTGGTGCATAATAAGCAAGCGAATAATGCACAAAACAGAGATATTTCATGGTAAACTGGTCTCTTGAGTACACTGAGAAAGAGCTGTGCAGGAAGTTTGATTTTATCGTGGTGGAAGCAAAAGAGCAAAAGTAAGAGGGAATTCATGACGATGTTTATCAAACGTGAAGCATAGTTTTGATCTTCTTTTGCAGCTGGTTCAGTGAATTGTGGCCAGAGAGTAATGAAACCTCCAGCTTCATAATCTTTCAGATGTCGGTTTTTAGCACCGACGGCACACACGTGGACACGATCCACGCTTTGTGTTCACTTCTTTTTGTGGAATCCGTTTACCTGCACTTTGTGAACTTTTTATCCAGAAAGGTGCTATATAAATAAAATTTTACTTACTTTCTTTTACTTACTCTGTCCCACGTGTGATTTTTCTCTCTGCTAATCTGACTTTTGGGTTCTTTTAAATACTAAATATAAGACATGAGGAAGCTTTACCCACAATACCGCAACAAATAAAGTGTGGCTCCTGAATGCAGCATAAAAATGCAAAAGGACACAATGTAAGCTATAAAGTGAACTCTGTCAGAGAGCAAATGTGTCTCTACACCTTTTTGCATTTAAAAGCCAAACATTAAAAAACATGAAAGATAAACTCGTCAACGATTTTGTAAAGCTCTAATCATTATATATAGATAAAATAATCCATATGCATGTAAATAGAAGTAGCTGTGTATTATCGTATAGTTTAGAAACACAAAGTAGATGCAGCTGTGGTGAAAATTCATTTACAGACAAAGTAATAATGAACAAATTCCCTTTACCTTTGGATTTGGTGATGACTCCTTCTTGAAGGGATGATCCTACAAAGCTGTATCTGCAGATGCCCTTTAACACACTTCTCAAGACCAAACAAGAATTTCCAAACACAGATTTGTGCCCGACTGCGTGTTTGTGTGTGTGCACGCGTCTGACTGTGTGGGTAGAGTGTGAGCGAATGAATGTGAAAACTTGCTGTGCTTTTGACTAATTAGTTTTCAAAGTCCAAAGTCCATATGAAGTGTGTGTGTGTGTGTGTGTGTGTGTGTGTGTGTGTGTGTGTGTGTGTGTGTGTGTGTGTGTGTGTGTGTTTAAGATGTGACAAATTCAAAGACACCCCCACCTCCAATGATTCAGGTATCCAGGTCTGGGTCCCCTGGTCCCTTCAGAGTGGTGGGTCACTTTGAATGACTATAATTACCATGTTCTCAGTTATCTCCATTATCCTATGATGAAATACTTCTGGCCTGATTGGACTAGTATTCTTCAGGTGATTATGCCTGCGTCTGCAAGGTACAAGAGGTCACTAAACTACTCTCATAATTATGAAAATGAAGTCAGTTATATTTTATGGCTTTCACAATCACATGCACTCAGTCAACATCTATGGGAGATTTTGGACCACCATGTAAGACATCCCTCTCCACTGCCATCATAAACACCAAGGGCGGGACTATCTCATAGAAGAGTGATATTGCATCTGGTCAGATAACTGTAGAACCAGTGCCAGGCTATCTATAAGCTACTTTAATACTCTTGATGTCAGATTTTTCTTTAATTTGTTACCAGTCAGCAGTTCCTGTGAGCATGTGATTTTCCAGTTTTATAACATCTGGCCATGAAGAATATCAGTCTTATCTCAAGGTTTAACCTGCATCACACACACACACACACACACACACACACACACACACACACACACACACAAGCTGTTGTGACAGGGCAGTGTGACCTGGGATGACAATAAGAAGATCAAAAGGATGGTAAGTAAGTACTTTTAGTGCTCTCACCATGACAAAGAAAGAAGAAACTTTACATACACCCTCAAGAGGGTAATTTCTTTGCATGTGCATGAATGTGCTTATACTTGAGGTTAACGCTCTGAACCTACTGATAAGAATGTTCAACTTCAGCAGCATTTACAGAAACCAGCCGTGAACTACGACAATAAATTCTGTTATCTCAGCAGCTTCCTATAGTTTGAAAGAGTGTTTGTGTTATGGGTTGCTTAAAGCTGATATACACTAATCACATAATACACAATACTACTGCTACTACTACCAGTTTTTTACAGACGCTAGGACACATTTCCCAATACTTAGGTCACTTTTGCAAAACTCTTCACACAATCCTCCTAACTG